TGCCATACGTGGTCGCTCTGTCTGCTACACCATCTTCCCACCCAAATTTGCTTTTTTCATCTATTTCAGTTCCTGCTTGCCTCTTAGAGCAGGCCAGTGCTTGAATGGTTAAGAGTTTACCTCCATCTCCAAGTCCCCAGATTTACATACCTGGGAAAGGTCAGCGGAAAGTTCCCGTTGTTTCGAACTGGCAGTGAGATTCGGGGAGGAAGGGAGGGTGTGCTTTAGAGATACTCCTTTGAGTTAGTGGCGTGGTGCACTTTCTTCACAAGGTGTGTTTGGTTTAGCTCTGATACAGTCCTTACTCTTCTGGACAGTCCACCCTAGCTACGATGGATCTTTTCACATTTTAGAAAATGAATGATTATATTAATGGGAGGAAAACTTTGAGTTGAAAATCAGCATCCCTCTCAAAATCCAACATAGGCTCCTATCAGTGCTAAAAAGCACCCAGCTTTAGGCTTTCCTAGATTAGGAAACATCTGCAGGATTTGTTTTGGTTCATACTGTAAAAGCCCCTTTGGGTGTTGTGAACAGGAGAAAACATCACTTGGCTCCTGAAAGTGCTCTGATAAAATTCCTTCTTCAGACCAGGTGTGGCAGGATTTCTACTAAAGTACATGCCTCTATAGGAAATTCTACAATCTTATTCAAAAGGCAGATGCTTGCTTTGAGTGTACATTCACTTCTCTACTGTGAACGTGGGTATAGTTTTGAATGCAGCATACAGATTAATTCCAAGAGGAAAACATTAGCGTGTGTCCTCATTGTTCACATTTGGGGTATTTTTCATTCAAGTCTCTTCAGTATAGCAGTGTTTACTGTATAGTCTCATATCAAGTTTGCTAACATTAAATCCTAATAAAGTAAACTATAAGGTGTCTTGGAAACTGAGGACATATGTTGTTGTGATATGCAGGTGTATAACATTTTCTGCATTTATTTCATCCATCCCTTCCTCCATTCAGTGATTCAAGAGATATGTACTTATTCATTCATTTATTCAGCCATTCAACCATTTTGAACAAATATTTATTGGACCACCTGCCGTGTGCCACCAAAGGCTAGTGCGGTACTCCCCATGCCAACATTTCAGATTTCTTATCCTTGCCAATCTGGAAAGTGTGAAAAGACGTTAACTGTTCAAGTGCAGAATGGAGGAGATCGCTCTTAGGAACTGAGGTTGTGACGTTGCTGTTAAACATGCACAAGGAAGCCCCAGCTCTGTTCGCGCAGCCTCTGGAGGTGGTGGTCCCAGCCCTGTGGCTTTCCCTCTCAGACCATAGCAACATTGGTACTCACCTCTAACCCAACATTTCATGAAGGACATTCACAAACTGGAGAGTATTCCACGGTTAGTAGGGATTGGTGTGATTCAGCAAATGAGAGCTGCCTCGGGGACTAGCTGCAGGAGCTAGAGTTGTTTGACTTGTAGGAAGCTTTGGAGGAAGGTAGATGCCATCCTGGGCTGTTGAAAGAGCTGCAAGGAATAAGAGAGTGTAGACCATCCGGTGCTGCCCGTAAGGACAGAGACCAAGTTAGGACGGAATTTTCAGCTTAGCATGGGGAAGATGATTTTAATAATCAGCAGTGTTGAAAATGGAGAAGTCCCTGTGGCTGGAAGCATTCATGAAGAATAAACAACTGTGTGTCTGGAGTGTTTATATCTAAAAACGGTGGAGCAGAGTGGGAAGTTGGACAGCATCTCTGCTCCTTTCCATTTCTGAGGTTCATTGTAATTTACTGATTCTTAGGGTACATGGAAATTAGACAAATTAGCCCTTGAAATAAAGCCTGAGAGAAAAATAGATGCAAGCCTTCTAAAGAAGAGAAATAGAATTATTTCCTGCACCAGCCCTCTGTTTTGGCCATGTTCTGCAGGAAGGAGGCCATGACAGGTTCATCCCAGTGACTCGCCCCACCTCCTGTGAGGATCCAGGAAGAAATGGGTAACTAATGCCACTGCTCCTGCTATCAGAGGCCAGGGGATGGGGAATATCCTTAACCACAGATCACAACCAACTCCAGAACTAGTTGGAACTCCCAACCCTGGCAGCCCAACTATTGACCGAATTAAGTTCCTAAATGAGCCTGCAGCTGTTGGTCACCATGTAGCTGGAAGGACAGATTGGGAACACCCTGTGTCTTGGCCAGCAACCGGAGATTTAACCCTAGAGCGGGGTATTGCTTGAGCTTCAAACTTGGGGCTCCAGCTGGGCTCAGTTGGAAAACGAATGGGTTGATGTGCTGGGCAGCCGCACACTTGCCACCGACCCCTCCGGACTGCTTTGATCTGGTCTCCTCTCCCTGCCTTTGACAGTGATGTAGTTCAAGGACAGCCCTAGTTTTTCAGAATAAGACAGAGGCAGGACGGAGGTGGGGAATATTGCTGCCTGACCTCAGAGCCTTCATCCCCCTGTTGAAATTTTGTTAACGTTTGCTATCAGCTGCCAGGCCTTGGGCCACAGTCACTCAGAAAGGAAGTGTCCGGGTTCAGGTTTGAACCCTAAGATCCAGCCTGTGATCTAGAACACAGATCCAAAGGCGTGGCCTTGGAGGTGAAGCATGGGCTCTGGAGTCGCACACCAAGGACCATTCCATCCTGGCTGAGAGGCCCTGGGTGTGTCACCCTCTCCACACCTCAACAACCACATCTGCATCATGGAAATAACACTCTGTGTAATGTTCCCACCAGGTCCTCACTGAGGGCTCGCTCTCTCTCCTCTCTGGAAACACATTGTCATACTCTGAGAACTAGACATGCTAGTATCACGTGATAGAGAAGGTGCAACTTGACATGAGCTAGTGAACTAACAGCTGTCAGTCTGCAGCTTCTAGTCTTCCCACGGGTCATCGTAGCCGTATGTTCATCTGCACAAGTACCCTATCGACTGTTGGAAAGGGCATTCATTTTTTAAATTAATTTTGAGTTATTTATTGACAGGGTGGGTTTAGTACTAATTTGCATCCCTTAGTGTTATCATATTTCCTCAATTCTTAGATGCTATGAAAAATTTTTTTCTTGCATTTCTAAAGTTGCAGTATGTCATACAATAAAAGTCCAAAGTCACTTGCCAGACTTTCTTTTTTTCTTCCAAATGCCGATATTAAGTGGTGGTCTCCTTAAATCACCTTAGACTAGAGCAGGTACTTAGAATAAGATGTGTGGCTCAGTGGTTTAGTGTCAACCCAAGCACCAAGAAGTCGCCGGTTCGATTCCCAGTTGGGGCACATGCCCAGGTTGTGGGCCCAGTGCCCTGTGGGGGACCTGCAGGAGGTGGCCAGTCAATGTTCTCTCTCATTGATGTTTCTATCCCTCTCCCTCTCCCTTCTTCTCTAAGATCAATAAAGAAAAAAATGTTTTTTTTAAAAAATAAGGCTAGCCCTGGCCGGTTTGGCTCAGCCGTTGGAGCGTCGGCCTACAGACCAGAGAGTCCCAGGTTCGGTTCCCTCTAGGGGCACGTACCAAGATAGATAGATAGATAGATAGATAGATAGATAGATAGAGATTTGTTTCCATGAACTTTCCCAAGACCGCGAACTAATAACAAAGCATTTTTTCCTAATAATCAAGAATCACATGGACATGGGCATTATGCTCGGGATTCTTTCCATTCTCTGCTGCTGGATCTTTCGGCTCCACCCACCAGTTCCCCTAAGACCTGAGCCTCCTTCCCTGAGCCCATTTCCTCAAGGTTAGGCCACATCCGACCTGCTGGCAGGTGGTTCACCTGTGCTCTCTGGGCAGGGGCTAATGCGGGGACCCCGCCATCTCCTTGAATACGTCTGTAGAGCCAGAACAAGGAAAGCAGCGTCTTACCCTCCACGTGCTCAGGGGAGACTGGCAGATGTGGCCAGGCAGCGGTCATGTGAAGGAAAGGCGCTACCTTAGCTGCCATCGGCCACTGGCCCAGAGCCTGTGCTGCTGCTGCTCGTGGTTCACGAGCTTCTTTGCTGTCCTGTCCTCAGCCAGTCTCTGAAGAAGGCTCAGCAGAGAGTGAGCTGAAGTTCTTTTACAGACGTGACAGGATAGTCTGTGAAAACTCCACTGTTCCCCCCATTCCTAAGAACATCTCCAGTACAATAATCCTATAAAATAGTTTATAAAAAGCTGCAGTTACATTCTGACATCTGGCACAGTGTAACCCAAGTCAAAGAGGATGATGGTGGTGATGGTCATTAGGAAGAGTAAGCCTTTTATGTCACAGTGCAGGGAAATGGAGACTATCTGTTTGTAATGTCATTCTTTTCCTGTAGGTCTTGGGACCTTGTTCTTAGGATGTTTGTGTTGCAATTTGATGAAGTTAGGTCACTTTAAATCAGGTATCCATAAAACTCTTTATTATAATATGTATACACACAGAGTATGAATATGGAATACCTTCCTGTATGTATATTCCTAGCCTGGTAGATGTCAGGGTTGCAACATATAACTTACTCATTGTATTGTTCCAGCTATCCCCATGAGCTGTTAATCCATGAACAACGTGGAAAGACTTTTGGGTCTTAATAAGCACCCCAGATATTTGCTCTGTCAGCAATTCCTCCAACTTGACCCCCGACATCCTTCAGAAAGCAGAGGAGCGAGAGCACAGTACTGGTAGATGGGGTGTTTCTGGGGGCAAATAGAGAGTGATTACTTGGTTGGTGAACTAGTGGTATCTGGGAATTCTTTATTCTCTAGAACTGTGTGTCCTAATATAGTTCGTTTTGCCTAAATAAGAACAGGGCACCAGATAGTTTGTTTTCACCTCATTGGTGCCAGTGAAGCTCACAGACGTCTCCCAGCAGACAGCAAGGTACTGAGTGGCATCTTTTGGCTTGTACTTGCAAGAGATTTAAGAGGATTCAAGGTTATAACTTTTAAAAAGAGAGAAGTCACTGTAAGTTATCTGTCATGTCTCTTAAGTAAATTAACCAACAACTTAATATAAAATATTAAAAAAATAAACCAACTCAGTGTTTTGCTAAAGTGCATTATATGTGCGTGTTCTTTCCAGACATATGAAGATTCACGAGAAAGACCCTAACAGTGCTGCAGCTGCAGCCCCGCCATCCCCGCTGAAGCGCAGGCGGCTCTCCTCCAAAAGGAAGCTGAGTCACGATGCCGAGTCGGAGAAGGAAGACCCAGCGCCTGCTAAAAAGGTTCTCCCTGCTCCCAGCCCAGGAGTGCCTAACCACGGGGTTCTGGGTAGACAGCCTCATCTTTATCTTTGCCGTTTGGGGTTTGGCCTGTCTCCCCACGCTGCTGCATAGAAAAGAGTGCGTGCTTCCTCTGTAGCGCCCCTCGCCGAGCCCACTGAGGAAATGAAGAGCTTGTCCATTGCGCCTCTGCGTTTTTTCCTAACTAGAATGGAAGCTCCGTAAGTGTAGGGACTTGTCCTCACTCTTACTCCACTGTCTGTGAGGTGCTAGGTGTTCTGTAAATATCTGTTGGATTGGTGAGTGGGTTGAGGGTGGGTGGGCAGATGGATAGATGGATGTTATATTTAGTGAGCATTCACTGCATGAATGAAGGACTGGTCAGGTGCATTCTAAATACCTGGGAGGTGGTGTCCTTTTCTTTTAGATAGCCTCTGGACTGCGGGTTGGCTTCTCTTCAGAAGACCACCCATGTGGAAAGCCTCCTTCATGACTTCACTTTTTCCTCTCCCCTAAGATGGTAGAAGATGGGCAGTCAGGTGACCTGGAGAAGAAGGCTGATGAAGTGTTTCACTGCCCGGTGTGTTTCAAGGAGTTTGTTTGCAAGTATGGACTGGAGACCCACATGGAGACCCACTCAGATAACCCACTAAGGTAGAAAGGGTGGACTCTACCTGCACTCTGGAAAGCTCTTTCCTGTTCCCATTTCTTCTGGCATCTGACATAGCCTTTTCTTTCATTACTCCATACTGGGCTGGAATGCTTTACTGGGGTATGAGGACGCTGGCGAGGCCATTGAGAAGGGCATGTGAAGTTGGGCTGAAAGGTGTGAGTGAAGGTGGCTGACACCGCAGAACGTGTTCACCAGAGCTCACTGCTTCCTTCATGCCTGGCGAGCCCTGGGCACGGGAGCCTCCTCTCACGGGGCATTTGGGCAACAGACACACTGTGTTCATAAAATGCACTGCAACCCAGATGACTGGGAGCTGTGCAGCACGTGGTGGGGCCAGAAGGGTGTCTGCAGCTGTTGGACTGGCGGCACTGGTAGCAGGGAGCACGGAGAATGCATTTTGGGATGAGACCAAGTTCAACTTCATGCAAGACGTGTCCTGTAGTGAAGCCCGTCACAGAGAAACAGTGATGGGTGACCATTCTCCTGGTCCAACCTCAAGTTGAGGCCTTCACTGTCTCTAGTTTTCTGATTCCCAGCCTTTCCACGCAGAAAACATGCATGGTATTACGACTTTCCAGCAGAATTCGGAGTTGTAGGCGCAGCGCACTGAGCTTTCTTGCCCTCCCTTCTCTGAGAACTTTCTCACCAGGCAGAAAACCCTGTGTCCTTAGTGAGCAGATAGGCTTGTGACCTTTTTCTACAGAACTGCCTCTTGGAAAGCTGTTACCATTGGAAAGAACGAGGCACCATTGGGAGCCGCTGGTGCAGGGAGGCTAGAAAGGCACGTGTCTGCAGGGCTGCCCAGGGCAGGTGAGCACAGGCATGGCTGCAGCTCCAGGTTCCAGGAGACAGTGGAGGATGTGGAAACCTGGACGTCTGTGACTCACCGGGGTATGGGCCACATTGCTTTCCTGAGGACGCGGGTTTGGTTGTGACTGAGGAGTGAAGGGGACTGAGCAAGCTGAAGACTTTCGTGTTGAGGGAAAAGCCTAATTAACTGTACAGTAACTTAAAGCTGTGTCAAATATCATTGTCCTTAATCACATTAGCTTGACTTTAGGAGGAGAAGGAGTTTATGAAGAGTTTAGACTGCTGAGCATTTGAAGTGCTGTAAAATGCCCTTACATAACTCCCCATCTCGGGACATTGCATGATGCGTGGGAGTGGACATGCTTGTCAGCCCCAGATCCCAGTCCTGTCTCTGCTCATGTAGGACCTTGACCAGCTGCATCTGAACCTGAAGGAGAACTGGACAAGATAATCCCTGTGCTCCCTTCAGACTTTAAATTCTGTGATTCTGAAACCTGTCTCTTACCAGTTGTTCTCTGTCTACCGAGAAAAAGCATTTGACTCTTTCTTTTATAGGCCCTGTAGTTCTGAGAGATTCAGGAACTTGACTTCATGGTTTTATTAACATCCACAGCATACCCAGGATGTGGGCTTGTGGTGGGTGGTGAATAGGGAGATAGTTGTCTAGACTGAGGACCTGAGCAAACAGAGGTGAAGTTACCAGGGGAGCCTCACTTGGTGAGTTGTGGGCAGAGGCAGGAATAGTCCATGGGCCCTCCAGCTCCCGTCACTGCAAAGTAAACACACTGCTAGTCTCTGAGTTTCTTCATGTGTTTTATTTCACTTCATGCTTTATTCTATGCTCAGATAGCATTAGGAACTACCTACTTGCTACCTTTTGGATAGTTCTGCCCTGCAGGGAAAATAACTGAGTCTCAGAAGAGCTTTCTGGGTGGCTGGAACCTGAACAGCATGGTGAATAACAGTGATCGAGAAAGATCAGGCGTCCTCTTCTTAAATGCTGGCCTACATGAGGGTGTGGGTTCTCCTGAAACAGGGTCTTCTAAGACCAGCATCTTCTCCGGGCACAGGCTGGGCTTGCTACTCAGAGAGGATGGAGATGGGAATTGCGCTAGATGCTGGTTGTTCCATTCTGCATGATTTGGTGGGTAATTCATTCACTGTGACTCCAAGGCCACCGGGGCCACCAATCGGCTATGATGTTGAACCTCAAGTCCTGCCTGTTTTTCTTGCTTATTCAGTAGTAATACCCTTTGTTTGGTGAGGGGTTGGTTGACTGGAGAAGTTTTGTAGCCTGGCAGGGACTCCACCCCTCCTGGCAGCCCTCCCTCCCACTGGGGGCCCTGGACGCTGCGCCCCCAGCACCCAGCAGTGGCCGTGAGAAGGGGTTGCCTTGCTTCCCATGTGCAGGACAACCAGGCCATCCTGTCTAGTAGCTGTTGCTAGATGGGGTGGGGCTTGTGTCTGGAAACCAAAAGGAGTTGATTACAGAACATAGTTAATTTCCCTTTTCTCCTTGGCTGCTCTGCCTTTCCACATAATAGCCTGCTATCAAGGAGGCCATGGGGGCAGGCAGGAGCCAGCAGAGCCCAGCCAGGCAGTGAACTGTGACAGTAGCTGATGAGAGAAACTGCTTGTTAACCCAGAGCTAAAATAGGCACCAACTCCATTTGCAAACCCCAAAGGCAGCAGAACCACAGTGGGATAGATGCTTCAAGTTTAGACAGAAAGTTTATAACTCAAAACAGCTGTTGGCTTCTCTCCTGCCCTAACCCCCATCCCAAAACTGGCAAGATGCCCATTGTTTCTTAATGAAAAGTGTTGGCAATTGAAGCTCCTGTAAACGCCGAGGCTGTCCTCCGTTCCCCTGTGTTTCAAATTAACAAAGTGTCAGTGTAGAACAACAGGAAGACACGAAGTGGCTTGTAGCAATTCTAGCTCTTGTCAGTTATTGCCTGGGCCCTGACGTGACTAGCAGTAAATCGGCCCCTCTGTACAGGGACCCAGACAGGAGAAGTGCAGGGCTCGTTGAGACCTGGCACTTGGAATGGAGGTAAGGGCAGGAGTGCTCAGCAGGCAGGTGGATGTGTAAAGGACGTCCCTCAGACACAGGTAGGATGAGAGCCACATATGGCACTTTACGTTTTCTAGTGCCACATTTAAAAAATAAAAAACGGGTGAAATTGATCATGCTTTGTTGATTATACCATTGTGTCCAAAATACAGTGTCAACATAGATACAATATAAAAATCGTCAGTGATATGTTTTACATTCTTATTTATGTGCTGTCTTTGCAGTCCATAGTGTGTGGTGTGATCACAACCCATCTCGGTTTGAACAGGCGTGTTTCAAGTGCTCAGCAGCCCACCTGTGGCAGGGAGGGCGCCAGGGCAGCAGCTTTGCGTCAGTGGCCCCTGGTCTTGTGTCTGAATGGCTTATGTCAGGCTGACCGGGGCTGGGCCCAGACTGGTGACAGCTGGTGGTCACCATGGCAATGTGGGGGCACAGTCTGGCAAAGGTTATTATATAATCTTATATGGCATCTTGATTGAAGGAGATCAGGTAATAGTTTTTCAATCATTTGAGCAAGTGACAGTGCTTATTATGTGTCAGGCGATTGACCACACTTGAGGGGAAAATAGTGATGTTGGAGACAGGGCCCCTCAAGGGCCAGTCAGAAAGCAAGTAAATGAGCAGTGAAAAAAAAAAACAAAACCCCAAAAAACAAAGGGAGCAAATTCGGGGCCTGGAGGGGCACTTGTTCAAACAAAGGGAGCCTGATCCAGCTGGTGTAAAGCTTCCTTGGGCCTTTCACATCGGGACAGGGCCCCCTGTATGTCTCTGGAGGAGTCCCTCCTTCATCTGGGTGGATTGTGGGTCCTGGTTGTCTGTAAGGTGATTTCAAGTTTAAAGGCAGTGCCCTTAAATCTATGTTAGGAATTACAGGAGCCCAAGTGGGTTGTGACAGGCACGGCAGTGTGGGGGAGGGGAGTGCTGCTGGAGGCCTGGAGGACAGCTAGGGGCCACCCCCGTCTTGGCAGGAGAGAGATGTCAGAACCTTCTTCTCCAGGATTCTCAGGTGTTCCACTGTGTTCAGCTCCCTTTATGTCATCCCCACATATCCCCATGACCTGCAGGAAGACCCTCAGACTACTTCACATGGCACTGGCCCCACTCTTGTTAAATGCCATTCTAAAAATAGGAAAGGGTATAACAAAGTATCTGTCAGCATCTTGTATTTGAGTCTCAGGGGTCTGAGGCTCGGCCAGGAGGAAACATTTAAAATGATGCTGGTGGAGGGGAGGACACTTCCCTTCTTCCTTCCTCCTTCCCAGCAGGCCTAGAAGCTGGAGGCACCTTAGTCAGGACTGCCCCCTCTCCACCCTGCCCAAGGATCCTCTCTTTGACTGGGGCTGTGCCGAGCAGGGATAGCCACTGGCTTCTGGGCTCACCCCAGCCCTAAATCTGCCTGGGCTTCATGCCATGCTGGTTTGGTTGAACAGTCCGAGCAGGGTGTCGGGACATGGTGTGCAGCCTGGCAGATTCCTGGGCGTGGGCAGGGCAGGCTGCCGCCCACCACTGGCCAGGGCCCTGTCACAGGGCCCGTACTGTTGCTCCCAGCAACTGAGAGAGATTAGTGCAGCTGTTAGATGTCAGTTCTCAGCTGGGACAGGACTGGAGGGGAGGGTGGGCTCGAGGGGAGAGGAATGTCTGAGTTGGGCAGGAGAGGTTATTTGCACTTAGCCCTTCTTGCCTCCGGAGACAGAGCAGGAAAAATGAAGCATGAAAATCCCTTTAAAAAAGAATGTCAGTCTCTCGATTAAAACATTGTAATGAGAAAGAAATCCAGTATCTCAGGAAGTTGGCCAGGGTGAGCAGCAGCATTCTTAGCAAGGTATTTCATAGGTTCTGATGACAGGGGCTGGGCTTGCTGGCTGCTGGGGAGTGTTAGAGGGAAGAAAGGCTCCCAGTGGAGCCGCTGTCCAGTGCCCAGGCATCAAGAATGTGGCATGGGTTGTAGAAGGAGCTGGGCACCTGCAAATAACTGTCCCCTGAACTGACAGCGTGGCAAGCGGTGTAACAGGGAATAATTAAGCCCCTGGCTCCATTCTAGCTGCCTGGCAGCTCTGTGGCCTCCAGCGCAAGTTGAGACTCAGTTTCCCCATCTGC